TATGCACATTTTAACCACATTCAACAAGTTAGAGGGAAAATAATAACTGAAAAATGAAATGTCACTTAATTTCACATTTACGCATATTTACCAGTTATGACTCATAAAACAAATGACGGGGGACGTTCCACTCATTGTTTACAGCTAATGGCCCGTTAAAAGTAATTGCATAAAAGAACAATGATGTATAATTAAAGTTCATGAATTCACAGCTCCTGTCTATAGAATAGACTTCAGCAAGGATACAATATGTCGTGGTGCGTGCTTGTGTAACTTGTTTGTAACCCATTGCCAACAAATGGAAGAGGACATTTCCTATGTTCATATGATGGAGTGCAGAGGCATAATGCCTCTGTACTGTGGGGCCATATACAAAAAAATTATGCTAACTTGACCCCTCGAGGCTTCTTATTGTGTCTCAGACAAGCACACTGTGCAAGTGCATTATCTGTGGTATGATTTAGGAGGGAAAGACGACCTTTTTGCTAAGCAGCGGGGGCATATTCTCAACATGCAGCTCAAGTAAGAACAGTAGAAGCATTAGCCCCAAAGGGCACTTCAATGTAATAGTGCATGACAATTCAGGAATAAAGTATTCCCCACACACTAGTATATTTCATTACTTTTCTTTGTAAATTACTTTTGAAATATTATTTTTATAAGTTTGTGCACTACATGGCTACCTGAACTATGGTACTAATATCTGAAGATATACATATAGCAGAGACATTGCTTATTATTTGAGGGTCAAGATGAAGTCTGAAAGCACTGGCTTGAATAAAGCAAGCACTCTATGAAGGCAAGCCGGTGCCCCGTATAAAGCTTGTCGCTGACCTTTAGCTAAATAGCTTTAATAGATTGAAATATGTCTCAGATTAGCTGAAATAATACATGAACAACCTAGGGGATTGAGGTAAAAGATGCATGAGTGAGTGACATCGGCTCAGCTGTTTATTACATTGTGTGGGTCTGTGAATGTAATTTAACTCTATCAGAAGCAGTCTGGCTTAAATGATCGTTGAAAAAGTTACTGGTCTCTGTGATCACTCCTCCACCCTGAACATATCGCTTCATTGTGTGACTCTATTGTAGGTGATGGGGGACAAAATCCACAGTGTTTTTTTCGGTGCTATCAAGGGGATATTATCCAAAGCTGACGTCTTTTAGTATTAGATTCCCAATTTGTGTTTCCTCGTACAGTGTTTCCTTGCTGAATTAATGGGAAATATTAGTATCTACCAACACCTTTCAATGGGCATGCCAGTATTGTGTTAAGTATTGTATGAACGCAGATTTAGAAAGAAACATTTCCTCTCTTAAAAACAGAAGGTCTTTGGTTGTGAATCACAAAGGGCACCTCAAAGAAAATGGCACCAAAAACACAGACAGAAATTCGATTACACAGACTTATTACATCATTTGGTGTCATATTAAATCAGTGTAGAATCATTTTTCAATGGTTGCCTCTGTCAGACACTCAAGGCCCTTTTCCAGTGCGATGCTTGAGGAAAGCAATGTCTCTCGCTCTCCCTTCTTTAGTCTGTCTTGAGTACCCCAGCCTTGGGGATGGAAATGTTTTTGAGGTGGATTGTCAGATCAGATAATGGCTGCCTCTGTCTATGTGACATACCGGAGGCTAAGGGAGAACAGTGGATAACTAATGTGTCCACTGCCTGTATCACACAGTGACACGCAGACAGTCAACCTATCTCTCTTTTCAAATGGAGAGTCGTGCTTTTTGTACCCATTTACACCTCAGCAGATCCATATCTGGACTTCACCCAAACCAACAGCAGAGATGACAAGAGAGGGAAGGCCGGTGATAGATAAGAACTTGCATAATGAAAAGATGGCATGAAATCAAGTGCTATTGACTAGCTGCAATGTCTCAAGGAAGCATCGATGAGATGAGTTGGAGCAGGCCATGGGAAACACTGCAAATTACGAAAGCGATACTTTGCATGCACTGCAGAGTGTGCTGAAAAAAAAAAGAATTACAAGGATGAGGCATTGTCTTCCAATCTCACAAGTAGACCCCATGTCAGTAATAATTACAAAGTATGTCCTCAGGGGTGAACATAGTTGATGAAACATTGAGAGTTTATATAGACCATACACAGTGCAATGGCCATGAAAGGAAAAGCAACATGAGCACAGACTGCCGGATAATAAATGATGTTCTACACCTCAGTTATCATGCTTTACACTTTTTACTCCCGACCTCCGTTACCAATTGGTGAGGTGTGACATATTCGTCAATGTGGTCTCAAAGGCTCTGCCAAACACTATAACGAATGTGTCAGCCAATTGCCAAGTGCTTGCTTCTCTGATATCATTTAATAATATTTATTGTGGCACACCTTAGCCATCTTCTTTTAGATTTTTCCTCTCCTGATTGATGTAGTGTGACATTATCATCAATATGGCCATAAAGATGGAGGCACGCAGTGTGAAGGCTCATCCCTTCTGTGTTGTTGCTGTTTCCAGGTGGTGCGTGTGAGCAGCAGAGTGAGAGGTATTATTCGATTTTTTCATGCATGTAATGCTTCGATACGAATTCACAGTGTTTGGCTGTAATGAGTTGGTACTGAATCTCTGTGTATTCTCCACACTTGTCAAACATGGGGCCAAGGTCTTTCATTATCCTCCCACTGCTCTAGCTGCCTTTTCAAGTCACGCAAAAAAAAGGACAAGTGCAGTGGGATGCCAGCTCAGAGGGCTCTCAGCTGTGTGGATGCCCTAATAAGACACAGGGAGTGGGTTTTCTCACTTTGAAAAAAAAGTTTGACCAGTGCATCCTCATGAAGAGGCTCTGCCAGGAAGGGATGATTTTTGGATTTAAATGGTAAACATTCCCATCATCTGGTCTGGTCTATACATACTCCTTGGAGAGCGAGTTGAGAGATTCCAATTCAAACAAAACAAAACGCCAACAGATTTCATTCAGAAGTTGTGTAAAAACAATCATTTCATGGATCAGATGGACATTACATGGCATAAATAACTTATTTTAACCATTGAACATTCATGGGGAAAATGCTTTGGCTTACGTATTCCGGTCCCTGGAAGCAGATCCTGCACAAGGGAGTCCTGAAGCCGCTTTCCGTGAAGCTAGTGAGGGAGAATCTCTCCTCCAGTTTGCCCTTTGAGCAGTCATTGGAAGGGCTGCTGCAGCCGCGCAGGGCCGCCGATAGCTCTGCAGCGTCAACCCAGCACGGTCGCTCTCCAGCCGATGTCCCGGTGGCCCCTGCTGCAGGTGGGGCAATCCGGTCCCCTGCGTGCTGGTGGCTCCGCGTTAACGTGTTGTTGTTGTCGGAGACGGCGACGCCTGTTTCATGGCTTTCCGTACCTTGGACGCTCATGGGGGTCAGCGGAGGCAGCGGTGTCGGCGGTGTCGGTGGCCCGAGAAGGAGCACCCTCAGGTCACCGAGCAGGACACAACAGCGGCTCTTCAGCATGCCCTGGCTGCGCAGCATCCGGCTGTATCCGGCCACAAACTCACAGCACCATGCGAAGGTGCTGGAAGACAACACGTCTTCATATGTCGTGAAATGGACAGTGGGGATGCGATTTCCAGTGTTTGTTGGGGTTTAAAGCAGCCTTTTTATTTTTCTATTTTGATATTCGTATATTATTATTTAAAGTATTTTATTGTCTCGCTACAAGAATGTAAATCCAAAAGGCAAATAAATCCCATCGATGCAAACAAGTGTCTGAAGCCATTAAGTTCAATAAATTAAACCGCTAAAAAAAAGAGGAAAGCCACATGTTAGATTGATAGGAATGTGCATTAAAGTAATAAAGCTATGGGCACTCAGTTAATTGTCTGTCTGCTCTGTACAACATAAACTATCTAGACAGGCTTCTCCCTCCAGATTAACGAGTGCACAAAGCAAATCTGCCTTTATACAAAGGACTGATACAGACTAACAAAATGTCAGCGCTCATTCTTTACAATTTAAATAGGCTTTTACAACAACATCGAAAGATTTTTTAATCTTCAGAGCTCAGATTGCAGTCGATGTCTTGGGCTTTCAAAGCAAATCAAGTCAATCGATGGCGTGCCACGAAGCAAAATCTGTCTTACCTGGCGAGCTACCCCGATATGCTATATACGACTCACAGTTTCTGTTTTTTTTTTTCATAAATCTCCTGCCAGACTGCAGGTCGCTGACAAGTCTGCGTGAATCTTACATCCCAAATTACCGAATCTCCATGTCCGAGGAACAAGCCGATGGGTGGAAATCCCTCCGTTAAAATCCAACACGATTGTCGGACTGTCCTGCTCCGGGTGAAAGCATCCGTAGCCCCGGATTCTCCTGTGATCATTGGCTGCTGAATTGGTGCTGCAGCTTCAGCACCATAATTCCTGGGACAGCTCCCAGACGCCACACGTCACCACCGCACAGTGATGCAAGCAGCCAACTCACGCAACTGAGACAAATGCACAGGGAAATGGTGAATTTGTTTTTGTTCAAAGGAGGTGATGTTTAAAACCTTTCATCATCAGAGAGCAGAAAAACAAGTTGGACCCAAATTATTCATAAACAATTCAATCATCAGGCAACACATGGCAAACACAAATTATTCATAGCAGCTGCTCGGCTACATGTGTCATTTTGCTCAACACAAATATCAACAAGGTTGAAAATAGACTTAAACATAAAAAAAGAATAAAAAAAAGAATAAAATACATATTTAAAAGGGAACAATTTCAAATTGCAGGCTAGATTCAAATTAGTCACGACACCAAAAAGCACTTATATATATATATATATATATATATATATATAAATAGTAATTATTTTTCTTTCGACATAGCATATCAAAGATACCTCCCCAGGTTATGTACATTTCTTTTAACACATCAAAATATAATTTCAAGTTATTAAATACTTTTATTGTGACAGCTGTGGTTTTGCTATCTCTCTACATCACCAAGCAACCGCCATCTCCACGTGTCCGCTTGTTTTTCTACGTCACTTCCTGCGCAGCAGATACTGAAACGTTCAACTCATGTTAGCTTAAGATGTGTTGCCCTGCTTCGTTCGTTTAATCTTTGCAACGTTTTGCCGTCTTTTGATCCCCCCCCCCCCCATCGGCCATCTTATCTCCCACAAATTAATGCTCACGTATGTTTTAAACCGCTGTGGACATTATTGATACGTTACTTATGTTGCTAAGTGTTACCGTCAACGCCGCCGCCCACGCTAGCAACGTTAGCTTATACCTTTAGCAAAGGAGGCTTCCGTACAAGTTAGTGAACTTTTAACATTACTTTCAGCATTAGTTTCAGCAAAAGTTGATCATTATGTCAAGTCAACTGACTGCAGAGCAGCAACGAAAGATTGAGGAAAACCGGCGGAGGGCTTTAGAGAGAAGAGCTCAAAGACTTGGACACACCATCAGCAGCAGTACAAACACGTCAGTAGGCATCAGCAGTACTTCGGTGCAGCTACAGCCCTCTAAGCTACAGCCTTCTAAACAGAGCGGTGCCTCGGATCATGCTACGCTGGCTCATCACAGACACCCAGAAACACTCGGCTCAGCTTCTGCACCAGAACGGTTTGTTCCACCCTTCAAAAAAGACTCGTCGAGCTTCAATAACTATAAGCAGAGCCAAAAGCATCAGCAGCTATCCAGCACTAGCAACCAAAGCCACCAGAGTACTGCTTCTAAAAGACAGGTGAGATTTGTGTTGTGATAATCACTCATGTATTGTTTTGAGGAAGAATAACTTGCAGTAATTCCCAATTCCTTGTGCTGTCTTTCCTTGTAGATACAAGTCATTGACGCACTTCCTCAGGCAAGAAGTCAACATGTGAGCAGTCCTGTTTTGTCTATCGGAGGAAGCTTTGGTGCGAAGCCAGCTCATCCCAATCTTAACGTCACCTCCAATAGCTCTGGTGGTGCAGGGAGTTCATTCTACAAGCAAACTAGTAAACCTGCCCAAAGTTCTGTGACACAGCTTCCCTCCAGTTCGTCAACTTTGAATGGAGTACCCGCTAAAAAGCCTGCCATCTCTGTAAGGGGGAAATGTGTCCCTCACACAGAGGGCCGCTTCAGAGTAGAAGTGGGCTACCACGCAGGGTTGATTGCTGTTTTCAAATCCATCCCCTCTAAGAACTATGGTGAGTATCTGCTAGTGCAACCATGCTGTTTTTTTGACCCACAAATACATTTTGTGCCAGTGGAAAACAACAGCATCAATTAACCATTAGCCCTTTCAGTGTCTGTACACTTTTAGAAGTAGTATAGGAATGTACAGATGCTTTGGCAAAATCATACAGTCAGAACAATATTCAAGACAAACAGGACAACAAAAACTGTCAACATTCATTTTCTCGAGCTGATTGGGTTCCATCACGTATATGCCGCATACAAAAGTACACAAACCTTCAATAGACAATGTAGTTTATGCACCGTCATGCGGCAATTAGGTCTGTGTATCAACCCTCCATTGTTGTTTTAAGCACTGACTTATTTTATTGTGTTTCGTAGCAGCAGGTATGGCAATTTTCAAATAATACCCGTAGTGCCTGATTGCGTCTTTGCCCATAATCAGGACAATCTGCAAAGACTGACTGAACACACAGCTGTAAAAATAATACAAAGTGCTAACATCCGGCCAAACCTTCAGAGCTCTCCCTTGTAGAAGAAGCCAGAAACAAACACCGTTCATCCTAATCAGTATCAATTTAAAAAAAATAGGAATACCAAATTCCAAACTGTAGTGATTATGTACCATATATCTGGTTATGTATGTTAATCTCAATGTCTGCACTGTCTTTTAGAATAATGAAGTTTTCTGTTTTCTGCCTTAGACCCTGCTACGAAGATGTGGAACTTCAGTCTGGAGGACTATCAACAGCTGAGTATGAACATCGGGGGAATAATATTTTTCGCAGAAGTAGCCTAAATTAAAGGCATGACAGAGTATTGGTCTTCTTTTGGGCTGCGGTTGCATCTCCCCTGTCTTCACCCTGTGTTGCAGTGAAGGAAGCGGCTGCTATGGCCTCCGTGTCTCTGAGGCCTCTGGAGGGAATGGAAGCCGTGGATGTTGCAGAAGCCACCAGCCGAGCTCGCGATGGTGCGGGACTGGGGGCTCTGCTGAAGCTTTGTAAAGGCTGGCAGAAACCAGGAGCCATTCTGCAGGGCCAGTGCATCATGGTGTCTCCGACAAAGTTTGAGATTGACATCGGTTACAATGTCGAGGTCATCGCGGCATTCAAGCAGATGCCCACAAAGAGCTACAGTAACAGTGAAATTATGCAATCTTTTATCTTGTTGTATTTGCAGTTTACATCTTCTGATACAGGTCGTTGTCTTGTTTTTATTGTTGTGCGGCAGACATGAAAACAAAAAAGTGGAGCTTTTCACTGGAGGATTACAAGAGACTTTGTGAGTAACAGCGTTGGCTTTATTTAGCTGCTCTATCTCTGTGGTTCTGTTTGTGATGGTTACATTTGCCATCTTGTCTGACCGTGCTGTTTTCCACACCCAGTGGATCTCCTCAGTGGGATAGCAGCAGTGGAGGTGGAGCCTCTGCCCAGGGCAATAGTCCAGACTTTCTCTGCCAGGTTTGACGGGACTGAAGCCAGGTCTTTAGACGTCCCTGAGGCAGACCTCTCCAGCATCGACCCGTTGCTCACCTCCAGCCTCATGCCTTTCCAGAGGGACGGAGTCAAGTAGGTGTCTTTGGAAAGGCATTAGTGCTCTTTCAGCATGGTGTAGCCAATAACTCAATACCAGGAGACAGCTATTCATCTATAATTTGCTCAGTCTTGTTCAAATGAAGAGAGAGTTTTCATAATAAGCCAATATTTCTGTGCCATTCCTCTGTAACTTCACGTTTGCAGATTTGAAGGGTTGGAACAGTATGACTTCCGCTCTTTGTCCGGCTGTAGCTTTTTAATTATAGCATTTCTGTGTCCCTATAGTTTTGCAGTGTCTAAACAAGGCCGCCTCCTCCTGGCTGACGACATGGGCCTGGGAAAGACTGTGCAGGCCATCTGTATTGCAGCCTACTACAGGAGTGACTGGCCCTTGCTAGTGGTGGCTCCCTCCTCTGTACGATTCACCTGGGCCGAGGTAAAAAAAATACCTTCTGCAGAGTGTGTTTTAAAAGAAAAATGGCTCATTACTCAGTACGTGTTAGTTTATCACTTTGTTTCCATTTAATGGTGACAATATGGGTCTGCATTAAGACAGCAGACAGCCTCTTTAGTATATTCTTCTTCTCTCCTTTGACAAAAGCGCTGCCTGATACATTATAATGATGATTTCTGCTTAAAGCTCATCTGCATTTCAGGAATCCTAATACCAAGGCCTGCTTGTATTCTGTTAGATACTTTAGCTTCAGTAGGGGAGATGGCAGTATTGAATTTAATTTCTGTCTCTAATACAGTGTATTTACTTTGTTACTTTGTTGAATCCTGTTGTTCCTAAAGATGCGCTTTATCTGATATTGCTGATATAGGTTGAACTTTCCATTTTTTACACACATTATTTGATATGGCTTTTTTGGGGATTTTGATTTTGTACAGAAGAAAGGTAGACTGGTCTTAGATCACAAGGCCATTGTGACACCCCTGAGCTTTGCATCATTGAGATGTTAGCCTCTCTTTCTCCCCACTTTCCTTGTACACTTTCAGTACTTTCTAATGTCATGTCAGGTGTCTCTTTTTCTGCAGCATCTATTCTCTGCTAAACTCGCAGCAGCATTACCAGGCTGCACTAGCGGCACTATTTCAGAGGAGCTTTACTTGGCCTTCTGTCTATTGACAAGAGAAGACAGTCTGCTCTCTAAATAGATATCTTGGGTCAAACACAGTCTCCAAATCAAAAGTTGGAATCGCCAAGGAGGGTTTAGTCATAGGATGTCGACCTATTAAAGGGCAGTTACTCTATCTGGGTTGCATTGTTCTTCTTGTGCATTTGGCCAAAACTACTGAAAAAGATGGGAGCTATAACTTGGTGAGTTTAAGCCAGGTTGACAGGCGAATGGAGAGCAAGTAAGGGAACTGTCAGAAACATTTGGGCCACAGGGGACTTTTTTCTTCACTACATGATTGGTTGTTTCTAAATGGAAGCGCTGTTGGAGCAGTCAAAATGAATTGTTAGCAATTAGTAACATTCAAGCCAGCTGTCAGTAACAAAATACTAATTGAATGTTTCTATAGTGCTCATTACTAATGTCAGAGTCTGACATATTCCCGGTGGTAGGGAAACAGTACATTCTGCGGAGTTTGCTTCCGTCTGCTTCTCTTACATGAGTAATTATTCTTGCCTGTAGGCCTTCAGACGCTGGCTCCCCTCCCTGAGTCCTGACAGCATCAACGTGGTGGTGAAGGCCAAAGACGATCTGCGGTCTGGTTTGGTCAACATCATCAGCTACGACCTGCTGAGCAGGATGGACAAGCTGCATCTCGGACATCCCTTCAATGTCCTCATCATGGTTAGCTCTGGGAGTGAACTGTGCAGTAGTTAGAAATGTCTTCCAGTTCAGTTTATGCTCCTTAGTTTTGTGTTTTTATTTTTTGTATTTTGTCCTTAAAAGTAACGTCTGTATGTTATTAACCAAATATATGATTTTGTCGTTCTGTGCAGGATGAGTGTCACTTTATGAAGAACATGAAGACTGCTCGTTGTAAAGCAGCCTTGCCTTTGCTAAAGGTGCTTATTCTTCTTCTCTTTTTCCTTTCATTATTTTGATTATTATTTACCAAAGAAGTTATATTTCTTCTTGTTAGTGACGTTTACCATTCACTCAGCAGACTATCTCAAAAATATCCAAAGCAGCAGATCAAAGAATACCTAATTCAATCTGTTCAAAGAAGGAGATATTTACTTTGGTATCGAGGTGTAACTTCGCTGGGTCAAACCTGGAAACGGTTCCATAAAACTGGCTGTCAGACACACCATGGGCCAGTTGAACAATTGATTAGAGTTTCATGGGAAACCAGATCTGGGATTTCCTCCATCAGATGAATATTATTTTTTAGCCTTATTATACATCTCCCACATGTTCCTAAGGATCCCTGCACTAAAGCACAGTTTTCCCTGTTTCACTGTATTAGAGATGAATCACTGTTTTGTGTATATTTACCTGTAACATAGATCCACAAACCAGCTGAAGCCATAACACATTTGGCTCGTGGTTGGGTTTGCTTTCTTGCCTTGTCAGCTAAACTCCCTCAGCAGTAATCTGATCAGAGTTGTTTTTCTATCCTCAGGCAGCAAAGAGAGTGCTCCTTCTGTCTGGGACCCCTGCCATGTCCAGACCCTCCGAGCTCTACACCCAGATTCTGGCTGTCAGACCTACGCTCTTCCCTCGCTTCCATGACTTTGGGATGCGCTACTGCGGTGCCACACAGGTACTTTAAGGCTTCTTTGTTCAAGCGTGATGCCTAATACCGTTGAGCTGCAGTTGGCTGTAATTCTTATACACCTCAGAGAACGTAGAAGGCTGTTGGTGTGGGATTAGTGAATATTTATTTATCCGCCTCACTTACATACAGGTACATACATGAAATCACATGTAAGAGCAGTGGGCTGCTGTAAAGCACCCGGGGAGCAACTTGGGGTTCATTGTCTTGCTTTTTAGGTGTCAGTGGATTCCTCTACTGTGATTATTTTTTTTTGCCTCCACTCTTTCTCCTTTTGTTGCTCCACTCTTGCCACTTAATCTCCTAATTCATTTTAGTGGGTTCAAGTAGGGGAACAGGCTACATGATTTGAAGGCCAATTACATCCCTAATTTGGTTGTGATGACTCATTTTGAAGATTGTGGAGATTTTCTCTGCTCTGTAAATGTCCATTTTTTCCCACCAGTCTTTCAGTTAGTCTCTAGATTGACTTGCATTAAAAAAAAAAAAAAAAAAAAGAACCATGACATTGGACACTAAGGATCTGATTACCTGCTCTTGAGGTTTTTCTGTCAAATATCTTTGTCTCCGTTCTTTCTTCCCACCATCCTCTATTATTTTCTTAATATCTTGATATCCTTCTCTGTCCGCCTCCTCTCTAGACGACTTGGGGGTGGGACTACTCTGGCTCATCTAACCTCGGGGAGTTGAGGCTGTTGCTGGACGAGTGTCTGATGTTGCGCCGCCTCAAGTGCGACGTTCTCTCCCAGCTTCCTGCTAAACAACGCAAGGTTGTCACCGTGACCATAGATGGTATCAACACCCGCATAAAGGCTGCTCTGTCAGCTGCTGCCAAGCAGTTGGCCAGTGGACACCGCAATGTAAGTTACAAATGCGTCCCGCAGTCCTAGGAAAAACTGGAAAAGTCACAGAATTCGTAGTTTGTTTTTTTTAAATAGAAGTATTCACAAACCTAAAGAAATCTGGCTTGGTGGGACTTAACAACCTTCCTGTTTTAGGAATCAATGCAAAATGAATCTATCTTTCCAAAAGTGGTCAGATTGGAAGAAATAATAACATGGTTTCTGTTGCATAGATAACAGAAAACGAGATATCATGAAAGTTTCTTCATAATCCATCACTACCGGATGATTTTATAATGTTAAAGTTGGCTGAAAATAGTTTATTCTGACCATTGAAAAATTAATTACCCAAAGCTTTTGATTAAATGTATCCAACAGACAAAATCCAACAGTATGTTCTACTTCAAATGGAGTTTCTGTGATTAAATCATTGTTAAAATAACATTTCAAATCCTTGTTTAGCACAAGAAAGTTACGTCAGTTCTGTCCTCTACACACGACGGAGTCTTTTCAGGCCACAAACACACACAAGTGCTTTTAAAGTGACCTAGAATACTCCAGCAAGTCCTGTTTCACACTCTGATGAGAGTGAGTGGCTTAGCGGCATTGTTCATTTTACCACTGCTCCTCTGAGTAATGGCAGTCTTATCAAATCATCAATCAGAATCTCCTGTCTGTTCTTATCTTGTGCTATTCCTTATCTCTTTCTCAGAAAATGGAAGAGAAGGAAGCCCTGCTCGTCTTTTATAACCACACAGCGGAAGCCAAGCTACAAGCCATTATGTAAGTACAAAGACCCTCTAACAGTCGGAGATCAGGAAGTCAAATCAGCTTAGATGTGATGAGCACCGAGATTAAAATGTGAAATGAATCCAAACCTTTTGTCAGGCCATGGTGATGGCACTGGATTTGAGATAACTTGAAGAGTTTTAATAAATACACATGCGAAGTGAATATTTCCCTGCTTTCTTTGAGAGCTATGTTGTTTCTGCCTCTGCCAGGGAGTACATCACAGATATGGTGGAGTGTGGGAGGGAGAAGTTTCTAGTGTTCGCCCATCACAAGTTGGTCCTGGACCACATCACCACAGAACTTTCAAAAAAAGTGAGTAGACTGCACAAAAGCCTTAAATGCAAAGAAATATCATTTTGACACAAAAGAGTGCATCTTCACTTTTTCAACCAGGCTGCAGGGAACAAGTGTGGGCAGCACATATGCGCTTACTACTACGACTACTACTACGACTGCTACTACGACTGCTACTACTACGACGACTACAACGACACCTACTACGACACCGACGACTACTACGATGACTACTACGCCTACGACTACTACTACGACTACTACTACGACTACTACTATGCCTACTACGACGCCGACGACTACTATGCCTATTACGACTACGACGACCACGACTACTACTACTACGACTTATCATAAGTTTATCAAGGAAAGGTTGTTAAACTTGGTTTGTTGATTTGCATTGGTCAGCTACCTAAACCCATTCTGACCTTTTTTAATTTCCCCTCCAGAATGTCCCTTACATCCGTATTGACGGGTCCACTGCTTCAGCTGAACGGCAGCAGCTGTGTGAGAAGTTCCAGGTCTCGACCAATACCTGTGTGGCTGTACTGTCCATCACCGCAGCTAACATGGGTCTCACCCTGCACGCTGCTGACCTGGTGGTCTTCGCTGAGCTTTTCTGGAACCCCGGGGTAAGAAATGGAAAGTTATTACTACAGAATACTGTGTACTTATTGGGACTGGAGTATTTTCCTTTTGGAATCCATTTTGTCTCCAGCCCATCTTTTAGCTTCTTTTAGCTCACCTTTGGTTTTAGACTCACATATTTTCTGTATGACAACATATCTGCCAACGCCAAATGCTAGACGGAGAAGAAAGTAAAAGATGTAGCGGCTAAAGAGACAGATATTTTTCTCAATGGTTGGGGGAGACCTAAAGAGATGAACCTAAAGTGTCCGTATCCATATCATGGAAGTATAAAGAGAACTAGATACAGTGTTGGAGGCGAGGCCTTGTTCATTCCTATGATAATGGTGCATGAAGCCAAAAAACTTTGAATTTCTCCGTATATAATTACCAGGATCTTCCGCAGTCATGGGCCCAGAGAGCAAGCACAGTAGCGTTTTTACATAAATCTTTCCTCAAAACAGAGCACGCAGGAAACATTTGGTGATACTAAGAAAACTCAAATGCTCTTTTTGGCGATGCTTTTTTCTCTGCAGGTTCACGTTCAGGCAGAGGATAGGGTGCACCGTATTGGACAAACCAGCAATGTGAACATTCATTATCTGGTTGCAAAGGGAACCGCTGATGATCACCTGTGGTATGTGTCAATCACCGGGCAGTATGACCCAATTACAACGACAATCAAACTGCGTTTTTAAAGTCACTTTCCTCCAGAATTCATCAGTCTTCCACTACTGAAACAGTAGAAGGTCAAGTTAGTGTGGGTTCTCTGATATTGTGACAAGCAGTGAGTCGAGTTGTATCTCCTCTATTATAATAATGTATCTCTTTATTGATCAAGGCCAATGATCCAGGAAAAAATGAATATCTTGGAGCAAGTGGGCCTGTCTGAGTCAAACCTCTCCGACAAAGCTGTGAACGCCAGCTTCCACTGTAAGGTAAGCTTCTGCATCTGTATACAAACGCATTCATTAGCCTGTTCAGTTTTTCAGTAGCATTCACACAGAGCTTACCTAGCGAGCTTGATCAAAAATGGTGTCTGTGGATTCAGTGATGAACCTAATGAATTGGATCTGCTCAGGACCCTAAGCAGAGGAGCATCATGGAGATGTTCCAGAGGTCTTTCACTGCAGAGGACGACATGGACGAAGCCACCTTACTGGAGGCTGCAAACGACTGGGAGGACACGCCGCCTGAAAATAGTTCTGCTCAACAACACGGCATGGTCGGACAAAGCACCGGCAGCAAGGGCACCAGAGAGCATTTCAGCAGATGACTCTGAGATTGTTCGTGTTGACACATTACATTAACATGACTGTTTTGCTTCTTGGAACAAATCCCAGTTTTTAGCTCATCATGACTGATGTGAACTTATTTTGTTTTGTAAAAGTTAACAAATGCATCAGTGCATTTAAATAGATGTAAAATAATAATCTGACAAACCTATATATATTTTTTATGCTAAGATAAAATAAATAAATGTCTGACTTGTTTTAGAATCCCTCTGACGTTGTAACCTAAATGTTAAGTTGTTTTAGTTTCCTAAAACTGCTGGTTTTACCTTGAGTTTCATTCATAAACCCCAGTCCCAGTTATCTGCCAGCAAGCTGTTAATAATGCCAAGAACTCGGTGGTATAGCTTTTATAACTTCATATTCTCGACATTCACACAGTTAATTATCCAGAGTAAGTTATCCTCCATTGTTAAGCCATCCTGTCATTAAGCTAACAGAAAAAAAACTAATCGCAGCATGTAGGAGCAATCCAAGACAGACTGATTGAACAGTTTGGATTCAGTTAAAGGCTTTTCTGAAATGATCAGTTGCTCTGTGGCGACTGTGTGAAACCTTGTCTCAGTCATGAAGCTTACAGCTGCTGTTGCGAGCCAAGAATGTCTATAAACTATTCGTGACCGTCAGCAGTATTTATAAAAGTCAAGTCTACAAGTACTCCCTTTAACTGGCTATCGATCCACCACCTAAATGTCAGATATGTCTTCTTGTTTATTTCATGATTCATGGAGTGATGGACATTGTTCCCATAATGTTACAGAATAAGCCCGCAATACAAAAGAAACTACTAAGTGTGCCGATTCAGTTTGAGTGCTCTGGGTTGTCCCTTCCTTCTGTCTGTGGGCTGCAAGGATTTATATTAGGTGGGTCACCTGTAAAGTAAAGAAGGGGATTAGCTCAAATCTTCTGCATGTCACTCACATATTAATACATCAACTATATGAGGAAAGATCCTGCAACCAATAAAACAGTATTAGATAGTAATACATTGTTTTGTTATTCATCAGCCACAGGACTCATGGAAACATTGTGTCACCTAAACCTATTAATACTTCAACTATCATGAGAATATATTGCACATTTGAATTGAAATGATCCTCAATGCAGCTGGTCAGGATTTACTTCACACTCTAGGCAAAAGCGACGGTAAAAGCAGTTTCATCTCTATTCCAGCTGATGCTAAGTGACATGAAGATCAATGGCCTCATTTCTCTCTGAATCAGATGAGATGCCTCTCCTTGCTAATGGAAGCCATCTGAAATTGTCAGACAAGATAAGTATCTACTTGCTAGTTACACTCATTTTCCGGGACGTAATGCAGTAATTGCTGTCTTAATTCAAGAGATTGGTCCTTTGAAATATGCAGCCCTCACAAAGAAGGACCCAAATACAATTTAACAGAAAGAGGAAATGCAGTTTTGTTTTAGGGCAGTCCCCATCAAAAGTAACATTTTAAAGGTTGGCAGAGCTGACAAAGTTGAAATATCAGTGGTAACCTGGGACATGCTGCCAAACAGAAGGATGAAAATGTAAACTATAAATATATCTATATAGTGAATATCTTTTATTCTGTAATGTCCTGTGATTACATACTTATCCCACAGGGGAGTTTATGACTCGTTACCATTATTTACAGCTTCCAGAGGCATTTTTCATCGGTCTTATAAATGTGATATATTTACTAAGGAGTGATGACCAATACCTCAGAAAACTGATGAGGAATGCCTGTGCTCAAACTGACTGGTGCGCAATGGATTGTGGGATACTAAGGGCTGCAAAGGCGTATAAACTGGTCGTGTGTTGTCTGTGAGCCTTTGGGCAGGAACATGCCTTTCTTTGTCTCTGATCTGAAGATGCAAAGTTTTAACCCTTGAATTGGGATAGCTAACATGTCGGTGGAATACTTCTCACTCATTACCAACCTTCGCGATGGTTGTCAGACATTTCTTCAGTTGAAGATCTTGATATTCTTGTTTTCATTTGCAGAATTGTCTTGATCTTTTTCTGCAAGAAAAGTCATTGTTGCACTATTTTTCTTTTCAACCATAAGATGAAATATCGTTTCTAGCAGGAATAAACATCAGAACTAAATTGTTATGTATTTGGAACCAGGTGGTGTGCCAGATGGAAATGACTGTCACACACATCATATGATTACCGAAGCTGGTTGTGTCAGTCTCTCCATCACCGGTGAGCTCTGCGCAGATGTCGCCGAAGATAAAACGGATCTTTTCCTCTGCCTGCTGCTCATTGGAGGAGCCGTGCACTGAGTTATGGAGGATGTCGGAGGCAAAGCGGGCTCTCAGGGAGTTTGGGGATATAGTCTTAGCTTGATCAGGGTCTGAAGGGCCCATAGTGGCCCTCCACTCCTCCACTGCATTTTCCTTGGTCAGTACGAGCATCATACAGGGCCCCCTGAAACAAACAATGACAGGATGTTCATGACTGCATTCAGAGGATGAGGCTCAAGTTTCATGCTTGGCTAGTATGACCAGTGACTGCTGACATGTAGGTCTGGGAAAAAGATGTTTTGTTGTTTTAGATGTATGGTTAAATGTAGCAGCTGTTCAATCACTGTATTTGAACATGTAGCAAGGACCTGCTTTACACTGAAATGTAGTTGTTAGACATCTAAAAAAAGCACTTTTCAACTTAAAATAGCTCAATTTGAACCTAAACACCTCCTGATAATGAACAAATCAGTGCTATAAGTATAACTATAAAGAATAACTTAGCATTCACAATGCATTTTCCAGCTGCTCAAAGAGGGTTTTTAAAGAAAAAAAAACACACAAGGAACATTTCATCCTTCAGTTTATCACTAACATTCAAAATCAACACATCTGGAGAAACGTGGTTTTCACTGGACAGCAAGGGGATGAAAAACTGTTATCTGAACAGTAACTAAAGCTGTCAGACAAATGTAGTGCTGATAAAGTGCAATATTTACCTCTGAGATGTAGTGGAATAGAAGTATAAGTAGTAGCATAAAATGGAAATACTGGCATAAAGTACAAGTACCTGGCTGTGGTTACATGTGCAGAAGAGCACACTTCCGACCACACCCGACAGGTGAAACAGGCATGAAATGTCCAGCCAGAGCGGTTGCCTTAACACTGCCTGGTGTTAAGTTACTCCTTAAATACATTGTAGGATATAAAATGGTACCTTAGCTAAAAAATAAATACAAAACATTCCACGATGGTAAGAATATAAAACTTGAATTAATAGGAAAAGCGAGCTGATCTCGAGGGATAGTGACAGTAAAGGTAGTTTCTCAGGCTGAAGGGCCCAGCTGCACACATCTCTCTGCTCATTGTGTCCGAGCAGTTGTGTAACAACCAAGTGAAGGGACTAATCGGAGCGGAAGATCACTCTAAACTCTAGATGTGCGGTGGAACAAAGGATGAAATTGAGATGGACTTCCTAGCCACTTGCCTGGGGCTGCCTTGATTTTAAGCAGCTAAGATTACAGTTAAAAGTGCCGGTGAAACTTCAAGCGGCAACAGGAATTAGGCCAGGTCTGCTGTGCTCACTTTGGCTTTATCCTTTTGGCTGTGTTCAGGTAGACTTACCGACACATGAATTCCACCAGTTGGCTGAAGAAAGGCTTCTCTCTGTGCTCTTTGTAAAACTCCTCAGCCATCTCCCTCGATAGCACCATCTCCTTCAGCTGCGTTACAGAGAAACCGCTGCCTCTGATCTCCTCCAAAATCTCCTCTGTTGCAGTGAATAGAAAATACATTGTGAAGATTATGTGACTATTTGTGCACATCTATACAAACACCAGTACATTTTATGTTTTTTTAAATGACCAGAAAGGACCTCCATGCTGATTCATGGCATCCGGTTTGATCACTGCCAGTGTGTGCTGTTTAGGGAAGAAGAAGCTGATCTCTCGTTCTGCCTCTTCGGGACTTTCACTGCCATGCAGCTGGTTGATAGGCTCGTTCTCCACCGCAAACTGGGCCCTTAGACTGAGTGATGAGGGGTACAGAAGTCAGCATTACAGGGATGACAACACTGGTAGTTACCGCCGATATCTAACAGCTAATATTTGATGGTTTCCAGGAAGTATTTTTGGATGAAGTGGTTTACTCTATTTGCCCGAAGTTAATTTCTACTTGCCCTATACAAACCGTTTAATGTATTTGGGGTTATCAAGTAAGAACAAATACCAATGTTAATTGTCATGTTTAATCTTTATTTAAGTAAAACTGGAGTTTCAACCACGTCCTCTAACGCCACTCAACTAAACTCCTGTTTCCAGCATAACTGCTCGCTTGGGCTTCATCTCATAAACTCAGTTTATAAACACGTGCCTTTTCTCGCAAGTGCTCGATCAATACTGCGCATGTGCAACTCTCAACAGGGATGAGAAGGAAACCAGATAGCTCAGTCCTTAGCTACTTCAATCATCAGCTCTAGATAAAACCAAAGTATTTAAGTACTTTTTTCCTACTTGCCCAATCAGGCAAGTGAGTTGCTAGATTTACTAGCCTCATGGGGCAATTTACTTGCCCGGGGCAAGCGGGCAATCCTTATTGTTGAGCCCTAGGTGTAATGTGTTTTACTTTTCTTCATCCTGCCTTGTCTGCTTCTAGTTCAACTAGTGATTTTCCACATTTTTAAGATTGCCTTTCAAGTAATCCCAGAACACGGGGCACTACAGGCGGAGACTACACTAGAACTTTGTGTCTAAAATGTATCTTGTGACAGCACTATGGTCTGAAAAGAAACTGTTGAATGATAAGCCTTCTCTTGCTTTAATCACACATTTGTATTTAATGACCTGCAAAACCTGACAAGATTAAAAAGACGGGCCAACAGAGAAATACTGAGTTCTTTCTTAACAAGCTGTCAGTAGGATTAACAGTGAAAACTCAATTGTAAATTATTAAACAGTGACTTCTTTGGACTTATTTAATTGTGTAAAGAAATGGAGCCACATATCCCTCACCATTCAGGACTCTCCTCTCTGGCTTTATTAACATCAGAAGGACCAAGGTTGTTCTTCCAGTGATGGACAGCCCCCGTTCTGGCCAGAGCCAAAGCTAACACTGGCCCACTGTAAATACACACATGTTAAATGCCCATCTGCAGTAACACTCTACTCTGTAGATTTTATTTGTGCATGTGTCAGTTACCTGGTCATGCTTCGGAGCAACGCAGGGAAGTAGTCCTGCTCAACATGTTGGAAGTAAAACTGTCTGACCTGCTCCTCTGTCAACATTACCTCCCTTTGGAGAGCCACGGTGAAGCCTGACTTATGGATTTGAGCCAAGATCTCCTCTGCAGAACAATAATAAATACAAAATATACATTAATTAGCCAGTTTATTAGGTACGTGTGTACTTGTGCTTGTGTATTTGGCACGGGCCCACCTCTGTTATCTCTGGCAACGTCAGGCCGGATAAGAGCCAGAGTCCTCTCCACACGCTCTTCCTCCCCATCCTGCTCCGTCACTGAGGCCGTCCTAAAGTTTGGGAAGAAGAAGGCGAGCTCCCTGCTGGCCTGGTCCATGTCCTCGCTACCGTGCACTGCGTTGAACAGTGTCTGTGTGCCGTATTGTGCCCGCAAGCTGCAGGAAGCCAGGGGGGAGACAGGAGAGGAGAGCAGATGGTTGCTCGGCTGGTGCTCAACCAGAGAGAAGCATAATGTTTGGGTGTGTCTGACGGAGCAGGCGTGAATGTGCTATTCATTTGCTTTCCCAGACTTAAGCCTGAGATTGTTTCACACTGTCGCAATCAACAGTGCATGAATACATGTCTATGCTATAAAGAAATGTCGTTCTTTACAAAGACATAGGAATGATCTCTTCATCATATCGTATCTTACGGTTTTAATGCCATTGTTGATGTTTTCTCAACTTTTTTTTTGGTGAATGTAGCATTTGTAACTACTACTAACCTTTCTGGTTTATCTCTCCTAGCTTCCTCTATGTCCGTTGGGCCAATGAACTCTCGCCATGCTGGCACAACATAAGCTGAGCCCTCAACCTGAGAGAGCACCAGAATATGGGACGGACCGCTGGACATAAACCGCACCAAGTCTTCAAAGCCAGCCTGAAACCACCATCACATACACAGACAAACGCATACACATATGTTAATGAACACATCAAAAAGTCTTGAATCAGGTCTTACATTTACAAGGTGAGAAAGAAAGAAGAAAATGTGTATGAATATATTTTTAAAAGGCAGATACAATACTGTACATATACTATATTATTACTTCATGAACATTATTGCTTTACCTATCCACCTTTCCTCAAATGTTTTGTATTTCTGAATCTCTAATCATTTAGTCTCAAACAAACAGCGCCATCAGCAAAAATAAAAGCTGCTTACACGGCAGATCTATTTTGAGCCCTGTGCAGAAATGCAGATGGAAGTGTGATGTATCGCAAACTAATTGAAATGATTTTTGCACTGGTTGTGACTGCTCTCCCATTAGGATGTTGACTGAATTTAAATTGGCTGGACTAACCACACAAACAATGAACCAATCAGCAGTTTGACTAGTCATCTGCATCTGCAGTGAGATACAAACACAAGTGTATGTATCTGTCAAAGTGTCTTATGTCCGTGTGAGATGTGCCTTGTTGTTACTATTCTCTTCTACTCTCACAGTACCTCTTCTGCTTTGTGCCGGTAAAAATCTTGAGCCTCCACCTCAGTCAGCGTGCGTTCCTCGTGGGCCAGGATCTCAAACCCAGCATCTTGAATCTAGCCAGGGGAGTAATGTCAGGATAATGAACTAATATCAGCAGGAAGGCTTGAGACAATCTTGTCTTCTCAGATTGTGCGCAGTGTTAGTCTCTGTGTACCTTCATAATGATCTCATTTGCCTTGCCGTGAGCAACAGCATCTGGTTTGATGATGGCAACTGTGTAGGATTTACTGGCAGGAACTACAGAAGAAAAGAACAGCTTGAGTCAAGATCAGAAAATGCAGATAAAATGCTGAACACAATCATGGTGATGCTGGTAAACAACAATGATAATCACGTTAACAACATTACCAGCAATAAACCGACCACTAATATGATTAGATAGTTTCGACAGTACCAATTATGCTTTCTTCATTTTCTGACTGCTGTGGAGTCTCCTCCTCGTCCTTCCTCTCATCATCCACCAGACCGTCATCTTTAACCTGATGGACACAACAAAACCTTTCTTTGTCCAATCAACAGTCTTTTACGACAAAGAGAAGCGGTAAATGCTCACATTTGTGAACCAGAAGCAGAGAATGTATAGAATTTCTGCTTGAAACATTACTTAAAGGTGCTCGTCAACATGGGTCGGGGCAGCAAGTTCAAAATAAGTTCAAAATAAAATGTCAAAAAAATGTCTTCAACAATTAACTGATTGTCTAAATAGTTGCTGATTCATTTCTGTCTAATGACTAATTGATCAATTGACTAATAGGCTTTTTCTCACAGAACCTTTTTCAACATGTCGAAGTAGGAAAAGCACACGTGATGTTGTTATTGGTAACGCCAGTGGTTTTCCTGCTATCACAAGTCAAAATCAGCTCTAGAAACTGAACGTGTGTGTGTATCGTACTGCTCACCGCTTTGCGTTCACCACCTTGCTCCAGGACCAACTTCTCCTTGGTCAGTTCCTCCACAGTCATCCTCTGAAGGAGAGGAGCGTTGGCCCCTCGCAGCACAGCCACCAGTTCTCCACTCTGTTCATTCAACACAAAGACATCAACAAAGTCTTTAATTCGATTTAATTTAACATGATGTGACATACAGAGGTGCTTTGACAACAGCAGGCCCATATAAGCAAGATGCAAAAATAACAAAACAGTGGAGTGAAAGCTCAGGAATGAGCATGATTCTAAGAAAAGTCAATTAATAATACAAATGAAATAATGGGCAGCATATTGCAGCATATTGCATTCGCAGCCCTATTTCCTGCCCTACATTATTACACCTGTGAGCATGATCGAGTCAGGATAAAAGCGAGACAAACAAATATAGACAGAAAACATATAAAATAACTACAGATTGAAAATACAAATATAAGACAGAAATAGTATACATTGTATACAAAGGAGAGAAAGGCAAAACACACAGAGCTGGTGGCTCATATATGTTGAAGCATGAACACACACATCTACTGTACAAGAATGCAAGCACACACTGTATAAACACACTTACCCCATATAAGAGGAAGGTGGGTTCACATTTCCCTCGATACCTCTCCAAAGCATCAATGCTGTCTGCCTCGGCCTACACCAGCACCACACACACACACACACACACACACACACACACACACACACACACAC